AAAATTATATTATTAAACAAAAAAATAAATTACTTTGTTATTAAATCTAAATTAAGTTACAATAAAAATTTGAATTAAAAAAATTAGTCAGTTACACCAAAAAATGAGAACTATTAAATAGTTAATTTGATACTATTATCGATTTATTTATTTTTTTCAATTTTTTTTATGCTATATTCAAATTTATATTTTAATTCAAAAATAAAAAATTACCACTTTCTCAAAACCATAAAAAATCGTATTATATCGATAGAGACAAAAAATAAAAATTAAACATTAAAATCAAAATTTATCTCGTTGCATTGCGCAAGTACCCTTCTAGTAATATTTATATATAATAAATACAATAAATAAATTGACACACCATCCTCACATTTGATGAAGTTTGAATATTTGATCTCTTAGAAAACTAAAGACCACGATACCTCGTTTAATATGAATTTGACAATAAAAAGAAATATATTTTGATTTAATTTTTATTTTACATCAATTTTGGTTAAATTATATAAATAAATAACAAAAAATTAATTAAAATAATTTAATTAAAGAAGTATTTGATTGATATACCAAGTCAAAGATGATACAAATCTTATAATGGTTCTTAATGTACACGTGTTTTTAGAGTTTCAACATTTCTAACAAATTTTAAAAATGGAAATAATTGTATTTGATAGACTTTTTATGATTTTTTTTTAAATAGAAAAGTAGATATTCGAGAAAAAGATGATTTGGGGTTATTTGTTTACTTTTTAATAGTTCAATTAAGAGACAATCTTTAAATTATTAGGAGATGAATATTGTTTGACAAAGAAAAAGTTTGTTACTTAATGGTTATAAAACTCTTTGAATGATTTTTGTATCATGAGTCTCCTTTAACCATTAAGCGTCATAATTTCATTATAAATAATTACCAAATAATAATATTTCATTTTGCACTGTATCATTGAGAGCCTCTTAATCATCATACACCAAATCATTTAGCAACTGTCAAACAGCCCCGAAATTCTTTAAATTTGGATAACTCTCTAAAAATGATTATTTATTAAAAAGAGATGTTTTTTATTATTTCGAGAAAATCCATGAAATTAAATGTTTAAGAGGGAGAAATAGTATATTATTAATTATTAGAAGGGTAGTCGCACAATGCAGTGAAATAGATCTCGATTTTGATGTTTAGTTTCTACTCTTTGTCTTTATCGATATAATATGATTTTTTGTGATATTGAGAAAACGATAATGTTTTTATTTTTGAATAAAATATAAATTTGAAGATAATATAAAAAATTGGAAAATAAATAAATAAATCAATATTAGTTTCAAACTAACTATTTAATAGTTCTTGTTTTTTTATGTAATCTCTTTAATTCAATATTTTATTGTAATTTAATTTAGATTTAATAACAAAGTAATTTATTTTTGGTATAAAGATAATAGTTAAACATTCTGTTAGAACTCAATGATTGTCTTAATTATATTTTAGATTTTTAATATTTAAAATGAATATTTATCCTGTATTAAATTATGTTTATCTCTAATATGTATTAATAAACAGTACTTCATGCATAAAAAATATTTTTTAAAAGTTTTTGTCAAATGCTTTATAATACAATATAAATATTAAATATTTTAATAATATAATTAACATTGTTATCTTTAAAATGAAAAAGTTGTTGGAAATAAACATATAACTGTTTTCATTGAGATTTTAACTTTTAATTTTATATTTTAAAAAATGTCAAGATATATTTTAGCGAGATATGTTTTCCAAAAATTTAAAATTTGACTTTTGTTAATTGTTATTGGTTAACAACTCATGACTTGACCAAAAATATTTATTTATTTTAATATTATATATATATATATAGAGGAATGTTATTCTACACCCTTTGTCATTCCTACACCCTATACAACCCTCATCTCAACTATTCAATTTTTAATCAATTAATTGTTTCCTAATATAAAGTATTAATCATAATTAATAAATTCTATCCATATTCCATAAATATTCAAATCATAATATAAAGTTTTATGATATCTTCAAATTTATATTATATTCAAAAATAAAAACATTATCGTTTTTTTAAAATTACATAAGACTATATTATAACATCGACTAAAATAAAAAAATAAAATAAAATATTAAAATCAAAATGTATCTCCCTGTATTATACGAATACCCCCTAATATTTACAAACAAGTTTATTAAGATAAAACTTAATCAACAAAACCCATAACCATTCGATCAAAGTCCTTAGAAAGTTAGAAATACTCCAACAAAATAACACGTATCTCATTGACTCATTGTACGATTGTTTACCAGCCCAAAACCAGAAGGTTTGGGCCTCGAAGTTAACGGAAGAAGATCACTAGAGAGTCCAACCACTTCCAGCTGTTATCATCTCGTCTTCTTCTTCCTCTCTCCTTTCCTTTTCATCTCCACAATCAAAAGCCCCTTGTTCAATTTATATACTATTCCTCCTCCATTGCAATCCCTCACCGGTTTCCATGGCTGCCTGTAAGTCTATCTATGCCATTAACGTTGCAACCCTAATTTGATTATCATATTTTGGCGCTTATACTTGTTTTTCAGTGGTATATGATCATAATTACAATCAATTCAATGGTGCATTATTATGTGAAATGGTGTAACGAGACTGATTTTGTGCATTGCTTTTTTTTAACCACCAGGTAGCTTTGGGGCTTCAAGTTTGCGGTTAGGACCTGCTAGAATTGAATTACCTAATTTACAGCAGAATTTGCATGGAGTAAAACTCCCAAATTCTCGAAGGTTTGAAGGTCTGGTGTTATCACAACGTTCAGGGAAGGTATACGATCGGTGCCTATGTTTGTCTGCCAAGAATGCCCAATGTAAGAAATTTGGTTTTTAGTGTTTGTAAGTTTTTGATGGATATCAGCATGAGCCATTGGAATTTCCATAATCACCATGAAGTTTGACATCTAATAAATCATTTGGTTGTCTTCATTGCCTTTACGATTTATTTAATCTGGGTGCTTTTTTTTTTATTTTAACCTGGATATCCAACCCGCCAAACAAGCCAACTAATCCCGGGGGACAACCTGTCTTGCAGGTAGCCCGGAGTCACCGCATTTGAACCTCCATGACCACAAGGGGATTTTTGTTCCTAATCTGGGTGCTTTCCAAATTGCACAGAAATAACATCAATTAGGCATCATCTCATGATCTAGATAGCATCCAGGAGCATTGTATTTGTGTTAATGAGATTGGAATTCTAGCTCATTGGTTCAAAAGCTTCAAGCAAATTTGTTCACAATCCCCAGTTGCATAACTCCTGGAAGTTAGAATTGACATATTTGGGGTGGGGGAATCCTTTATTAAGATGTTGGCTTGCTTATATGGATCTTTATGCATCTTCACCTACTTGATTCTTGCATTCTTCCATGATCATATTCTAAGGGCATGTTATTTAGCAGCAACTTATGCTTAATGGGACTCACAGCTTATTTGGTGAGCTATACATGACTGTTTGGTAGTGGGTTAATGATATAGAAAGTGACTTATTCACTAAGCTTCTAGAGGGAGCTTTATGCGGAAAGGCAAGTCCCCTCCTGATCAAAAAGCACACTCCTTTCCTTTCATATATGTAAAAAACCCTCCCAAACAAAACCTTGCCAATCTATAAGGGTGCGTTTGGTACACTGGATATGACAGAACAGAACAATAATCCCTCTCCCATGTTTGACATGACTTTTATGTTGAACAAACAGGAACGGAGTTGAATAAAGTGGAACAGGGTGGAACAGACTTACATTTTACTAATATAACCTCAAAATAGAACTTAATTCTCTTCTAAACCATCAAATATGTCTCCTTTTTACATTTGATTCATTCTTTAAATTTTATTTATTGTATTTTATATTTCTTAAACTTTCATTTTACTGTCCTCAAAATATTATTTTTATACAGTCTTTATATTTTTATTAATTTATGTAATTTATTATATATTAATAGTAATAAATAATGTAGAAAAGAGATAAAAATAAAAATTGGAAACTACATGAACTTTTTATTTGGTGTCATTTTAATTGTTTTGACGAAAACTTTCTAATGATATATTTTGTTATAAAAAATAATTTTTCTATTAATAAATTACATAAATTAATTAAAATAAACAACTCATTAGGGGTAAATTGCTCATTTTACTTGTTCTATTCTGTCTAGTTATATCTTACCAAACGTTGAACAGTTGTTTAATCTTGTCCTGTTTTGTCTTGTGTTATCTGGACACCAAACACACCCTAAAGACAGATTACTCTATACACCAATTTTATCCATACAAAACTTAATGAAAAACCAACCAAACGGCCCCTAAGTTGTAATCAAAGCCTGCTATCCTTTAAGTAGAACTAAACGTCAACTTGTGATGAATGAACCTCAAGAATGTGCATTAGAAAACTATTGTAGATAGTCATGTAAAGAGGTCCTCTTAAAGGCCCATTTCATCCCATATATTGTAAGATAAGTTCATTTAAGATTTGATTAATAAACTTGTCTTAACGGAAGCAGCCTATTTACTCCTTGGGGTAGTGGAATGGCTGCATACATCTTATCCTCCCCACGCCCCACTTTGCATGGGATTTCACTGTGTTCGCTTGGTTTATTTGATTGGTAAATATTTGGGACTTGATCTAGTTCTTTCTCAAAGATACAAGTAATGAGCAATCGAAGTCTATTACAGTCTGTTGTACGACCATATTGATGTCTAATCAAACTTCAACTTCCATCGTTATCATCGTGCACTAGTGTAGCTTTTGTCAGATTACATGGTAGTATCACTTTCTAAAAGTCCATATGTCGCTGAAACTGAACATCCATATATTTAAGATTATAAAATGTGACAGCTGGTACAGATTTAGAAGACGAGGAGGAAAAATCATCTGAATCAACAAGCCGGCTTACTCCAAACGCTTCAGAGGTAAGTGATTTGCTCCCCTAGGATGCAATATTGTCATTCAATCATATAAATAGCATATGTTCAACATTTTAGCATGCTTTGTAGCATAGGGAAATTGATACAATTTACGCAGCCATTTATGTCATATTTACAGGTGGAGTCTCTTCTAACGGAAATTTGTGATACAACCTCAATTGCGGAGTTTGAATTGAAAGTGAGTACTCGTAAATTCGGAACAATCTCTTTAGTTAGAATCGAATTTGGCATGATTCAGCGTGTTTATAGTGGTCCCAATTTCACTATTTCGTGTTGAGACCGTGTGTTTACCTACTGTATCATGTGGAACAGAAGATTAGTTCAAGATAATATTTAATGGATTTTGTATCAACACGTTGGTGTGTGTTTGTAAGTATTAGTTAGTGTATACGGTGCTAATGCCTGCTTTGGGATATCATGTGGTGTGGATGTACACACACACACACACACACACACACATATATATATATATATATATATATATATAAGTCACAGGTTATTATGGAACATAACTATTACGACTTTACAAATAGGTCATGCCGAAATTCAGTAGAAATGTTTCACAAGAAAGTAGGGTGTTATAAGGGTACGTTTATTAGCAGCTTAATGAGCTCTCAAGGGGACTCACATTTTACTCAGTCAGCTATACATGGTAGTTTGGTAGTGGCTTATTCAGTAAGCTCCTAGGGGGAGCTTTATGCAGAAAGCCAAGTTTCTTTTTTCCAAACCTGCCACTCCCAATTAAAAAACACGCTCCTTCTATTTATGAAAAAACCCACTCTAATTTTTTCCCAATCTATACAAATTGATTAATCCACACAGACAGTTTTATTCATACAAGACTTAATGGAAAACCATCCAAACAGCCCCTAAGTCGATATTCTGAATGGTTGCCTCTTGTTTTTGTCTATCCTTGTTTCCGCACCAACTCTTATATCTTCTTTTCGTTGTTCATTGCTATTATTAGTTCGGTGGATTTCGTTTATATGTACTGAGAGACTTGACCGGAGAAAGTACCAGTTCTCCACCTCCGGTCTCCGCTCCGATCATCAGTACAACTTTGGAGACAACCGAACAAAATGGGTCAGCATCTTCACCCTCTCTAGCCATCACTAAAGCTGTACCCAGTTCAGGTGGGATTCAGACTTTTCTTGATTCAGCTGCAGATGAAGGATTGGCTATCATTCAGTCTCCCAGGGTGAGAAGCAATATATGTAGTCTTCTTTCTATCAGATAAGAGTTCTTTTTTCTTCAAATATGCAACTTGAGTTCAAATGTGCAATACAGGTTGGATACTTTCGAAGATCTCGAACCATTAAGGGGAAGCGAGCACCTCCACCATGCAAAGAGGTAACCACTTCCATGTTTCTTCCATTCACTAAAAAAGCATATCTGCGCTGAAAATTGTATGCTGAAAGCCAAACATCGTTACAAATCTTGAGAATAAAGTTGTTTAAACTTTTGCTCGCATTTCTGCACAAGTCAGGGTGTTTATGAAAACAACCGCTCTACTCTTTGGGGTGGAGGAAAGGTCTACGTATATCGCACCCACATACCCTACTTTCCAGCATTAAATACCGGCTTCATGTGGTTCGGTTTGATTTTTTTGGCTTCCTCTGCCGTTCCCTTTTCGATTACCATTGTTACAATTCTTCCCGATGGAATCGTTTATAAGTTCGTGAAATGTGACTTTCTCCATGTGTATATATGTTTTCTGATCTTTATGATTTGATTTCAGAAACATGTTAGAAGTAGTTCTCTACCCTTTGGGGTGGAGGTCAGGTTTTTGTAAGCCTTTTTCTCAATATGTTGCTTTTTCTTCCTACAAGTCTTTGTTCTCCTTTACCTTTTCACTCACACATATGGACAAGTTGGGGGTCTTCACAGGAAATGACCACTTTACCCTTTTCGAGTGGAGCTGTGGAGGACATGTCTATGTACATCCCACCCCTCCCAGACCCTACTTTCAAGTGGCATATACTGGGTTTGTTTGGTTTTACTAAAAATCGTTCTTTATTTCAAGTGACAAAGTTGCTAGCTCCATGACTCCACCAAAATGATTGTTTCTCATGCTCCCAATTTTCAATCTCCGCATCTAAAATAAACATAAAAACCTGTTACTATATGCAAGGAAACGATCTCCCAAGCTTTTCTGCAACTCCATCTTTCGTTTGTTTATTTGTGTACCGTGTCAATACATTTCTTTTGCCATATGACTACTGTTTATATTCTACTGATACCTGCATCATTCTAACAGAAACAAATAGTAAAGGAGGGGCAAGTTGTTTGTTACATCGAGCAGCTTGGTGGCGAGCTTCCGATTGAGGTTTATACTTTCTTTCCCCTCTTAAGTTCGTTTCTGGATCTGCCTACTCGCTATTAATTAACTTTTCTCTTCATAAAACTAATCGGCAGCTGATTAAACAACACTTCCGACCACTGATTTCCGTCTTACTCTCTTTTTTCTTCCTTTTTCCAGTCTGATGTAGCTGGAGAAGTTATTAAGATCCTTCGTGATGATGGTGGTATGCACAATTATTTCTTATCGAGTACTATCACACTACAACATATTCGGGTTAGATGTCTAAATGTCGTAATAGACCGCTTTATATGACTTAATTGTATAAGACTATACAATTGTGTGTCCTATATAAAGGTGTTACTATAGGATGTTAAGACGTATTTGGGCATCCTAACAAGTTTTTTAGAACACTTTTGAACATATCAAAGTCACTTTTTTCAAATAATATCCTATAAAAAGACTAATAACATTGTTTTATTTCAAAATTGTCCTAAGGGACACCCTATCCATTTATTATACCACCTTTACGTAGGATGTACAATTGTTTCGTCCTATAAAACAATCTATATGGACATTTAGATATATTTGACGTCCTATAAACCAATTTTGTCCTAGTGCACTAATTTTGGTCATTGTATATGCAATTTTGTATTTTACATGTTATGTTTTTGTCAATAGATGCTGTCGGATACGGAGATGCTCTAATCGCAGTTCTTCCCTCATTTCCGGGAATCAAGAAGCTTCAGTAGGTCGGTCAGCGATATACCCAGCCGCATTTCGCCCCCTCCCCTCTCTTTTTGCTAGTTTCCGGAGATCCGATGGTTGAAATTCTCATACATGCATATAAGAACATTCCATTTACATTACATCAAGATCTCTGGACTTACCTTTCTTAGGAATTTTTTTTTATATGTGTGGCCTCTGACTGAGCTCTCATCTAATAAAGGTGTAAATTCAGATTGTTTTGTTTCATTTATGTTTTATCTCTTACTAGGCAAGAGATAGTGTCTTATTGTTAGCAGCTTAAAGAGTTTAATGAGACTTCTAACTTATGCGGTCAACTATACGTGATTATCTGGTAGTGGTTTAATGATATATAAAGTGTCTTATTCAGTAAACTTTTAAGGGAAAGTTTTATATAGAAATTCAATTATTTCCCCCAAAAATCTTCCCCTTCAATTTAAAAAACACATTCTTTCCGCTATGAAAAAACCGACCAAACAACCTCATAATGTTGTTTATCCAAACTTCTGACCGAGGTGCTGATTGAGACAACCACTAATATGTCTTTGACTGAGTAAGACAATGCTTGCCAAAATTGTTCTTTTATTAGCAAGTGCTAAAGTACTGGCTAGTTAACCACAACGGTGGTGCCCGATTGGTTTGAGTTTGGGCTCCAAACGTCAAAAGTGTCTGAAGGTCTCAGGTTCGAATCCAAAGAGGAATAAAAATCCTCTTGTGGCCACGAAGGTTCAAATGCGGTGACTCCGGGCTCCGCGAAGCAGGTGGTCGCCCTGAGATTAGTCGGCTCGCGTAGCAGTTTGGATATCTATTTTAATAAAAAAAAAGTACCGGCTAGAAATAATTTGGTAAAAAACTATTTTGAATTGATACTTAATAAAGGTGATCATTTGCGGGGTTGGATCGGGTCCAGATCGGGCCTAACATAATCTTTTTTGTCCAACATGTCTAATATAGTAAATCCAAGCCTGCTTTTGTAAGTTGTAGACTTATCCATACCCATCTTATAAGTACTAAACTATACCGAACCTTGTACTCAAACCGCACATTTACCCGGTTCTCGTTTACCAAGAGAGTCATCAAAGATTGAAATCAACCCATTTTGCATTTTTGATGCTTTATTTTGAATGTTGTCCATTAAAATTCTTGATTTTTGGATGCCTTTGATTTTGTACCATTTTTTGATTCTATATCGTTCGATTCTTAGCTCTTGCACCACCTTTCAATTCTTTATCGTTCACAAACGCAATACGTAAACAAAAGAATTATATACAGATTTGCTATCTTAAGCCACGTCTTAACCGTCCACTAACTTGTAAGGCTTTAGGTTTGACCTCGTCATCATACCACATCACACCTTCCTGTAACAAGAATCCCTCAAATCCTTCATTTGGTGATGAGCCGTTGCGCTTAGCCTCGGCCTTTGTTTCCATCAAATTTGCCCATGCCATTCCATCGGAATTGTTTGCACTTTCACCGAAAAGTCTCGTCGTTACCAATCTATAATATCTTCCCCTGCTCTGAGATGTTTTGGCCTTTTCGGTTTTGTTAATACGTCTTAATGGTTTATTTATTCCTTTTAAGATTCATAATAAACAAAAGGTGATTCGTACCATCCTATTTCGTTTTGAATCCTCTTAGGTCAATCTGTACCTACAACCCCATCATCACCGCCACCACCACTACCATCGGCATGACTACCAGATCCACCGCACCACCACTATTATATTCAACGAACCAAACAGACAGACAGATCCAAATTCTCTTAATTAATTACATTCTAATTCCTTCAAATTCCAACTCCTTTGACAGATTCTGATTCTAATAGATTTCATTCTATGAACCAAACGCCACCTCATATTTAAACCCAATGGCTCCATTCGTATTTCACTTCACTTGTTTTCAAAAGCAAAGAAGTATTGAACAATGGTCTGACTTCAATCATAATCATATCGCAAAAACACCGAGATTAAAATACCCAAATACCTCATTATTCGTGTTACGATCTCGTTACGTAAACAACAGTTACAAAAAGAACAGAATTCCACCAATTTGGCAGTTTTCAAAGGTTCATTTGTATTTGGACTTTGAAAAGGTCCACCTGAAACAAGAAACAATCTTTTTAACATCATCTCTAATAGAAAGGAAGGCAGAAAGAACAGCAATTGACATTGTTGGGTAGTAGACAGAAATGGCATTTCTGTGAGCTTTATATTCTGCTGCATGCCCATAGGGTTCTTTAGAAAGTCCCCAGCATAACAAAAGCATACCGAAAAGCCCCAACCGTCTTGATCTAAACAGACCTATTATAGATCCCGCCACAGCCAAATAGCTTCCTGCTAGAACCTGGTGAAACGACACAAGTTACATTTTTTCGTATTATAAGTTTTAGTGTGCATTTGGTACGCGAAGGTTTTAGGGTTTTAATTTGGTGTGGATGGTTTAGTAATTTCCAATCTTGTCTATCTTTCCTAATTTTTGTTCCACGTATTTTGGTAGGACAGCAAAAAACTCATTCGGTCCTGTCTATGTTGCACCAAACAGGGGAGTACAGGACAAGTTTTTGTTCTGTCGAATGCACCCTCAAGCTATGTTTGGTAGATGGGACTGGACACGACAGGACAAACTCAGTCCCACGTTTGACAGGGCAAAAACTCACTGTTCCACGTTGGTGCGACATGGTACAAGGACTCGGACATGGTGGGAAAGGGTATTCCACCGAAATAGTGGAACAAGATGGGAAAAGATGTGACATAAACTAAAAGTTTACTAATCTACCCTCATCTAATACAGCCTTAATATGGTTTTTTTTATGGTGGCCACCGCCCATCGGAGATGCTCTAATAAGTTCTTATACATCACCCACATAAAACAACTATAGAAACACATACCTCAATATACTGGAGATCAGTTGTGGAAGGGATTCGTCTAAGACTTTTCAACTTGTATGCATCTAGTAGTTTATTGTACTTTGGAATGGGCTTGTTAAGAATCGACTTTCCAATGGCACCTGGGTACAGGAGAGCCTTCACTACCCCTGAAGGTACCACTTCAGTTGCAATTAATTGTGAAGAAGTTAGCTCCATTGGTGTCCTGCAAGTACCAATTCTACATGGGAATCTGCATACAAATTACAACCAAACATATTAACAGCATTTATTTCAATTGTCAACAAGACTTCAAAAATCTCAACTTCTATACAAGAAAAAACGAACGTAAAAAATGAGAACTTGTACTTCTAAGGTATTATTTCACATGGTTCTTTTTCATATAATGCTAGAACTTAAGGTATTGGTCAACATATATTTGTTTTACATTTACTCGTTTCACAATATGAAACTTTTCTACATGTATTTTATTGATCACAAATGCATAAAAAAGTTTTATATAGTAAAACAAGTACATGTGAAACAAACACATTGTGAAACAAGTATATGATAATAAATACCTGAAGTTCTTGTATTAGATAAAAAGAAAACTTATGTGAAATAACACATGATGCATGGATTCTCATGGTTATCACAATTTTACAAGTTCTTATCCAACTCACATTATTCCAATTTCTATAACATCTTTTGTCTAATTCAAAAAGGCTCTATAATCAGTCAAAATGGCCAGAAACGTCTAACGCAGTTCTTAACTTCTTCAAAAAAGAATGAATGCACTGTGCCCTCCATTCAAATCCAACCAAACCAGTTCAATTAAATTAGACCAATTCAAATTAAAACAACAAACACACATAGATGACAGATTATAGGTATATAACATAGTAAAATCGTAAAAATGTTCATATTCCTGCAAATGAAAATCGTGAAAACATCTATTCGTTCCGCATTGCCGTTAAATCATTTCATTGCAGAAAAAAACCCTAATTCATGTCGGAAAATCAACAGGAACAAAACGGATTTCCACAAAAACTGTAAATGAAGCAGTTACAACGGTGACTGACGATTTCCGATGACATAATGACAATTAGGTCAAATTTAATCGCTCAATAAGTACAAGTTGTAATTGTAAAACTGTAAACGCAAGAATTAAAAGGAAGAAGAGGTACCTAAAAAGAGGAATCTGGAAGAAAATAAGGAAAAAGAATATTCTGGAAGCAGTGAAAGAAATGATTGTTGCCAACTTCTTCGCTTTTGAAGCCATGGCGGAAATCGTACGATCGTTTTCCTTTTTTACTTTATTTACACTTTTCCTGTTTTTCAACGGGGGTCGCTGATCGGTTGCCGTTAGGACGGTCGGACCCACGGCACGGCCACCATCATGGGGCCCATTTATCGGGCGATGTTTTTTAATATTCGGTCATTAAAAATAATAAATTTAAAAGAATATATAAATAGTTTTATAAAACATTTGATAAAAACTCTTATAAATTATTTTATATACATGAAATACTAATTATTGTTATATATTATTTAAAATTCATAATTAAAAATAAAAATATGACTTATTAAAATTTCATGTTTGAATTCATGTAACTAAGAAACATGATCAAATTAAGGATAAATATTTCATTTTAAATATAAAAAGTTTAAAATATAATTAAAATAATTATTGAGTCCTAACCGAATATTTAGTTATTGTTTTTATAAAAATTATATTATTAAAAAAAATAAATTAGTTTGTTATTAAACCTGAATTAAATTCTAATAAAAAATTAAATTAAAGAAAATATATTAAAAACGATAACTTATAAATAATTAATTTGATACTATTATGATATATTCTTTTTCAAAACTTTATTTTATTCAAAGGTAAACAATTCAAATAATAAAAAACTGTATTATAACATTGTCAAAAACAAAAATAAATTGAAACATTAAAATTGAGATATATTTTGCTGTATTATACGAGTACCTTTTTACTATATTAAAATATCAATGATAAAACTAAATATAAGTTGCTTACTATTTATTATTTAAGCATGATTACTTAAGATAAAGTTTTTTTTTTTTTTTTGGTGATATGTTGGGTCCAAATTGTTGGTCAAAGGGAGGAGGCTGTTTGGTATGCCATATGAGAAATAACAGGTTGAAGAGGAGGATTATGTGCGTTGAAAAACCCGATCAATCCAACTCACCTCAACGCGAAATAATTTAATCTGAAGTAATTCGATGTCTAATCGAGTTGTAAAATTTTCAAAACTTAGGTATTAGGTTGATACTGGGTTACTATCTTTTGAACTCAACTCAATTCGATGAACCCGATATCCTTTTAATTCTTGGATTCAATATGATTATTGAATTTCAATCATATATACATTACACAATTTACACTATCATTTACGCTCTTCATATACACATATTTTCAATCTATTCACATCTCTATATAACTCATTCGTATATATGTTCAGTAACTATGAACATATATATATAAATTGAGAAAATTAACTGAATGTAATATATGTAAGAAGTATGGATAAGTTGTATCAAATGGTTGATGATGAAAAGGGATAAATTATGAGTAGAGAAATAACATATTTAAGCTTATAAGAATATTTTGATGTATCAAAGTATCAACCCGACCAACTCGTACGGTTTGGGTTCGGTTGGGTTGCACTTTGGTTTAGGTTGGGTTATGTTAGGATTTTTCAAACCGCAAGCGTTGAATTGAGTTGTTCGAATGTCTTCAACCCGATTAACTCAACTCATGAACACCCCTAATCACTAGGCATGCGGGGCAAGTTTTGTAATCCCCGGCCCGGTCCTTGGCGGGTACGGGGATTAATATCCCATCCCCGGTCAAACTCCATGAAGAATATCCCTTTAGTTTGAGTCTACCGAAGATCCCCAACCCCAACCCGGTTTGAGTCTACCGAGGATCCCCGGCCCAAGGACCCGTTTTAGCGGGAATCCCCATCCCCATTCGGGTCAGGTGAGCAGGGTTCCCACCGGGTTAGGGCAAATCACTGTCCTTAATTATCAGATGCATTGGAGGATGTTGGAGGGAGGAATCTTCGACAAACAAAAGTTAGGGTTCTAGCAACAACGAGGAGCAAGGAAGAGGAAGATGATACTAATGGAGTAGGCATTCGAAGGAGAAGGCGCTCGAACTTTGATTTTGATTTTAATTTTAATTTTAAATTTAATTTTTTAAATAACCTCATTAAGGAACAGTTTACCAAATGCTTACTCAGGTAAGCGTTTATCAAGTAACATTATCTTATCGGATGAATATGATAAGTACCAAAAATCTTATCTGGTAAGAACAAAGGTAAGTACCGAGAGTCTAACCCGATAAGTGAAAGCAATAACTCTTACTACAGTTAGCACTTACCAGGTAAATTGTTGCATTTGACACCATTTTGATGAATTAAAATCTTATCCAGTAAATAAGTAATAATGTTGAATTTTACTGGTAAACACTTACCCAAATAAACATTTGGTAAACAATAACATATTTATGAGGTTATTAGGTTAATTCTAGATTTTAAAATGTTATGGAGCTGATTAAAACCTCCCATAAGAAACACAATTCATTGGATGGAAGCGAGATTAAATGTGATCAAAGGTCTAAATCTCTTCTTATGTTTCTCACATCAACTCATATTCTCACATGATCCTTCGTCTGTGTTTATGATTTATAAATGGTTTGCAGACATAATAGGTCGATGATGACCATGCCTTAGTAGAGAGGCACAAGAAGTTTTAAGCCCAAAGCCCCAGGTACGGGTCGGCCTACAAAGCCCAATTAGACCGAAAAAGCCCAACCTGAAATAGACTGATATGTACAAATTGAATGAGCAGATTGTAAATTTGGATTAAATTATCCACGAACAAACTGTTCAAGAATCCGAAATGCTATCCCAGTAGATGATCAAGAAACAAGAAAAAAATTGGGAGGTTTCGTTAAACAACCATGAGTTCGTGGCAGCAAAAGCCCGAAGCAGGACATGTAGGCAATGATTATGGTCAAAGGGTCAAAGGCCCAGCAACACCCGGGTTACTTGTAGATTCCAACCTCCTGAACAAAATTTCAAGCCTCGCTAAAGGATGAGGAGACTGTTTGTGAGTTTAGTTGTATATAAAAATTATATACTTAAAAAAGGCGATACTTATGAGTCAGAAGACTTAACAACCAACTTAAGGGTCATTTTACCAAATGTCAATCGGGTGTCACTTACCTTATCGAGTGAGCATGGATCGAGATTCGAGAATCTTACCCGGTAAGAGACATAGAAAAAACCAAGAATCTTACCCGGTAAGAGACATAGAAAAAACCAAGAATCTTACTTGATAAGCGCTTACCGGGTAAAAGATGCTTACCAGCAATTCATTTTAATGGCAAAAAATGTTATCCAATAAGGTAAGTGAGGGTTATAACTCTTGCAGGTAAGCACTTAGAATCAGAAACTCCTATTTTAACATACATACATGATTGGTAAGGGGTGGGCCAAGAGAGAACCTTAAAAAATGGAGAACAGGAGAACCTCCAATCAACCATCGATTCAGTTGAAATCCACGATTGTTAATGATAGGGGTTGTTACATTTTTACCAAAACTAAATCCAAGATTACAATGACGGTTACATTTGCATCTGGACCATCTATATTTTAGATCCAACGGTTAATAAAAAATTCTTTCTTCTTTTCTTTAAGGTTCTCTCTTGAACCTCCCCCTAGAAATTACAGTAGCAGGCAATGTGTCAGATAAAGGAACAGCAATAAATGAAGTCTATCTTAATGAGTATATCAAATAACTAAGAATAGTATAATATTTCCCAAGAAGTAATAATACATTATATAGTCTACACAAGGTTCAATCCGTGCCGAAGGCTTGTCATAGCTTTTGGTATAGACTATTAATCGAAAGGGTATTTGGCTTAGCAGTATCCAGCTTACAAGTAGAGCTCAACCTCTCAGGAGGTCAAAGGTCCAAATTTCACCAAAGGTGAGGAATTTAGAACATAACATACTAGTAAGACTTCTAGAGTTAAGTGAGACCCATATAAGATGTCTCATTATGAACAATGCTTCTCCATGGATATATATATATATATATATATTCATTCTTCTAGACAGGGGCCTTACCTTATTTACCTGATCAAGCAGCTAATAAATGGAGTTTCCAGATATATATATATTTTATGAATCCAAATTCTGCATTGACCAAAGCTACAGGTCAACCTGTAAGCTCTTCCATTAAGCCCTGTTGATGATTAAGACAATTGAGAAGCTAGAATTAAACAACAAAATGAAACTAGGTAAAGATTGGAATATTCAGAGAAGGCAAAATATCAATATGCAATACAGTTTCAAAATTTCCTAATTTGTACCCATTTGACGTGGATGTCAATTATATCGCCCACTTTGCCATAAAAAATTTATAAACCTTTTGTAAATGGGTATCTGCATCATCAAATGCTACAAGATTAGACTCAGCTGTTGATGGTTTTGTTTATTTTGCAACCACTTACTTTTATCACTAATCACATCCAACAATAAATACTTTGTATGGGTTTTGTTTTTAAAAACCTTGTGATAATGCTTGAAAACTTATTATTTTTGTTCCGTGTATGATATAAATTTGCTACAAAGATGACTCTTTTTAAACTTTGTCTGAAAATAGGCTTTCAAAGAGCAACAACTTAGTACACCAAACTACTCTACAAGTAATCTGTATAGATTGTTGTTTATCATGAGCTTGTGACAGGTTCTACTATGTACTAACAGTAATATATTTTTTATTTATTTAAAAAAAATTGACAATATGGCTACTACTTTACATTTATATGAATTTTTAAGAATCAAAAACCGTTGATTAAATATTTTAATGTTATCCCAAGTGCACGTTGTATGTGGACTTATTGTTAAGTAACATAATATTCAACATTGTTACAAACACCAAAAATTTAGTGTTTCTTTTAATTAGGAAACTTTTGAGTGCTTTTGCCCCTGGTACCAAACCTCAGGATCGACCCTGAAGGTCAGCATCAAAATGGGTACAAAATAGAAAATTTTGCAACGATTGAGGAAAAAAAATCTTCGTTACACTAAATAGAAACTAAACCAAACTTTGTTGTATTTTGCCCTTTAGAGAAATACCTGAGAAATGTACTGCTCTGCATCAGTTCGCCTAAGAAAGAGAATCGCATGCCTTGCAAGGTTAGCTAATTGATCACTGAGCACGACGTTACCAATTTCTTCGAGGACCCTCACCTTGATGTAGGGATCCTTGGGTGGCACCATGTCCTAAAAAACACATGAAAATCATGTAAGTTTAAGGTCAAATTAGTTTAGATACGTAAAAGTTAGGGGTTGTTTGGTTGGTTTTCCATTAAATCCTGTATGGATAAAGTTGTTTGTGTGGATTAATCTGTCTATATGGATTGAGAAGACTTTTGTTTGGGAGGGTTTTCTCATTGATGGAAGGTGCGTGTTTTTAACTGGGAGGAACAAGTATGGAAAAAACTTGACTTTTTGCATAAAGATCCCTCCTAGAAGCTTACTGAATAAGTTACTTTCTATATCATTAAGCCACTACCAAACAGCCATGCATAGCTGACTGAATAAGCTGTGAGTCCATCAAGCTCATTAAGTTGCTAAAAAACAGGCCCTTAGCATGTTAGTGGAACTCCTAGGGACTTGTGATCGGTAGACATTCAAACTTCTTTGTTTTACCACCAAAATAATTACTATTTACATCCTAGTCACTGTAATCAAAGCTGAATAGCCATTATGTTATATGAAGAGCTTTGCCAATGGTGTTGCTAAAGGAGCAATATCAACAAAGCATGCACCCAGCAATTTTGAAAAGGGTAATTAATGTGCAACAAGGCTTCTTCGCTTTGGAGGAAAGTCTAAGCACACAATATTTCCATTGCAAGTTAGAATGAGACTGTTTCCATGGCTTAAACCTGTGACCTTAAGATCAGAAAGGGTTTGCCCCTAACCGGCTATTTAAAGCTTAGGCAAAATCAGATGAGTTCATGAAACAAATTCAGGGACTGACTGACAGTTTGAGTCATTAGATAAGATGTTTTAGGCATCAAGTGGTCATCTTCTCATAAAACAATCAGAAATTATTAATGTTCCAATTTCATGAACAAAATATGCTCAAAGATCAAAATCCCATTGCTGATTCCTCTCCTGAGATGTGATTCTTTATGCTAAAAAAAGCAGGAAATTAGATAACTTACCACTGCCAAATCAAGATCCAAATCTGACATGTAAGATTGTAAAGTTGCAGAATGGTTTTTGAAGTATTCTTTCTCTGAGCTGCTAAGTTTCTCCTCAATTTCTTCAGGGAGCACACGCTCAATGGTCCACCCCAAATTTTGAATGACTTCTGCGCGATTGTGCCTGTTAAAAGGTCACAACATAAACATAGATGCCACTGGTGATGAAAATTAAATTATAAAAATAAACAGCTCGTTCTGTCAAGTGATTACACATAAGCCATGAGACAACGCTTATTGCGGACCAACGAAAGGTGGTGGATGAGTGCCCCAAAATGATCAGCATTTTTAGTTGTCTGATTGTCAGATCCTTCTACTTGCATCTTCCTGTCACACATTAGGTTAAGGGATAAAAAGGTGGATCTTACAAGCTGTCATTGCAACTAAATGATCCCACATTAAAAGAAAGAGAAACTGAGAACACAGAACAACAACAATCTCATGTTCTGGTTTGTGATTACACTACTAGGAATTGCATCAAAACAGAAAACAATAGTTACTTTGTGGTAAAGTTCGTGTGTTTATACCATTGCAGAAGTTGCACTTCACATTCACAAGTGCATGTATTTGTCCTATAAAAAACCATTCCCTTAAGACATTAAGCTAGTAAAAGAAGAAAAGGGGTTCAATAGCAAACTGAGAACGCTTGTGTCTACTTGGCTCCTAGATTCAGATAGTTTCAACAACAATTTCATTTGTTCCCATCTTAAACTACAGATCTTCGAGTCCTTTGCATGTCTCATGTAGAAAGCAGTTCTAACAACATTAATCAAAATGATACACATAATGCACAAAGCAATACATTCATTCATATATACACACACCTACACATATAAATACCTACAAGCAGAGAGGCATACATACAAGGTAAGCATATGAAAAAGAAAAGAGCACAAAAGATAAAATGAAGCAAAGGATTACCTCAACAAGGCCTGAAGTTGAAGAAGATGCCCATCACATTCCTCAATGACTTGAGCAAATAGATCATTCTACATCAGAACGGAAACAACAGAAAAATTACATTTCCCCAAAATCTTGTTTGGACGGCAAAAAAACATCTCCTAGTCGAAAAGGTGTCTATATCAGTATATCTAATGTCACTCAATCCGTTTGAATAAGCATAAGTTATTCACACCAAAACACCATGTAGAGTATAAACTAAAATAGATTGTGTCGTGTGTTTCATGGTGGGTGGTAGATTTAGGAGATCACTATTTAACAATAACAAATACAACAAATTTCTAAAACTTGACACAGCATTGTGTAACAAGCTGAAAGCATACTTTTTCAGAAACTCAAATGCAATCTTGACATTTTGAACAATTTGGATTTAGTCTCCTCGCAATGAAGTGCTGAAAACAAAACAAGTAAATAATTGCCAAGAAGAGACCATGTGGGATTTTACATTTATCATATGGGGTCTCCTTTGGCTCATTCCAACTAAATTAGATTATCTTCTCAAGTATGGTTATGGAATAACTTACCCATCTCTGGAAGGCATGGGTTATGGGTTAATAGTTTCTTTTATTTTACTTTTCTCAATTCCATGTGTCTCTTAGTTGGGCTAAAAGTGTAGTACAAAGAAAGAACTAAAAATAGCCTTTTAACCAGTTTCATCGCTTCAATTACATGTCCTTTTGAATCACTGACTGTAATATGGATGATAAAATATTGACCTAAATGGTTTCACTAAAGCTCAGCAGAGCAATTTGGCATGTTTATCAAACCGAAGGGAGACTCCCTTCGACAACTGAACTGCATTCAGAAATAGGATCCCCATTTGGTTAAATGACAGGAGAACAACAAATTCACCATTCATTATAAAACACATCCTTAGTTCTTGTAAATTTCATAGAATTGACAGGGAAAGAGAGTTTACATTAAAGACTATGAGCTGGCCCGAGTCACTGCTCACGAATTCTTTTACAAGTTGACACGCCTTTCGTCCATACATCTCGTTGTTCCAATTGTCCCTCCACCCTTACAAGGTACAACACTGAAACAAACCACATAAGCATTTCATCGAACACCTTAACTACGTGAACTTAAAATGACAACATTCACCCCAAAAAAAAATGCAGTAAAACGATGCAAATTGAACATATAAATATCATTTTTGATAGAAAAACCAGCATTCTGAACATTGCAAACTGAATCTGAAGATAAAATCATACATTACAAAATAAATAATTCAAAACAATACATTATCGATTGGAATATTTCTTCACATACCTACGACGTATACCGATGCGGATCAGAATTTGAGAATGATCTATGCACAACGAGTCGACAAGATCTGATCATGGGAAGTGAACAAGGAATGTTGGCCTGGAGATTTGCTTTTGGTTTTGATTTTCATGAAATAATGGCGGGAAGACTTCAAGAAAGCGTTCGAAGACTTCTTCCCACACCTCATTTGGATTGGAAATTTTTGGGTTTGTATGCTTTTTGACCCAAATATTAAAAAAATGTGCTTCATTAATTCAAAAGAGCCTACGATTTTGGTTCCTATGGTTTACACAAAACTACAAAAATGGTCCTTGAACTTTGATAAATGTAAAAATGGTCACTATAGTTTGCTCTACAAATTGTTTTCCTGGTTAACTCTGTTAAAAATGTCAGTTAAATGAGGGTCATTTTTGTCTTTTTATCTTTTATTTTGTTCTCTTTCTTGTTTTGTCTAAGACCCACTCCCTCATACCTCTGTTAGTTTCTCCGCCACAACAAATCTTTAAACTCGGTTACTAAAGAAAATGTTTTCTCGAAGTGAACCCTAACAAATAGATGATGAAACCAAGAGAAACACATATTTAGGTACGTCGGTGAGATGCAAATAAAATTGAATAGGTTTCAATCGAGGGGTATGTAAGTTTGAACCATTGAGGCGGAAGCTCCACGTACGGTTACCAAAGGGCTTTTGGCCTAGCGGTATCGTAGCCCTTGGCCTTCTAGGAGGTCAGGGGTTCAAACATCACCATAGGTGAGAAAGATGTGTGAGTTTATTTGTTGCATTTGTCGTATATAAATATTATATAGTTAAAAAAAAACCTACACGTACGGTTTTGAAGCCCAAAAACTTCGACCCTTCCTTCTAAATGGGGGTGTGCTTTCCAGAGGTGGAATCTTCTAGTCATTCCTATTTGATATGAAACATACTGATCTAGCCATGAGCAGGTTGAAGGGAGCTCTAACAGGCCTTAGAGGACAGAGCCGCGAGCAATCTACATTTGTGATCTCGTATATTTTGCTTATCCGATATCTCTACTAACTTTCCCTATGTCCAAACGCCCGAGTACAAAAGAGAAAATGCTATGCAGGGAAGTCGTTTCCATCCTTTTTTCATATTCAAGGTTATTAGTGCTATAATAACCATTTTTTTTGCCAACAGGCACAATACCCGATCATAGAAAACACTAATGTAGCAGAGAACGACCACATGAATCGGAATCCGCTTACCTTATTAAGATAGGCGATTATTTGATAGAGTTTTTGAGGGATTTCAAAAATTTGGAGACCGTAATGTGTCGATATGTTTAATGGTTCAAGGGTTTTAGGCGTCGATTTTGATTATGTTAGATGTTAAACTTAGAGATATATTTGGGTCATAGCCGATAAATTAAAAAAGTTGGGCTTGCTAATACTAAAATAATTATATATATATATATATAGAGGAGCGTTCAAATGAAAACTTGACCCATTTGTGTAAACCGTGTAAACCAATCTCATCCGTCCATTTTCTTGATCAATGGCCTAGATTATATTATTTTATTTTAGGAAATTAAAAAATAAAAAATAATTAATATTCATTTTATTTAAGAAAAAAGGGTAGAATCGGTATTCATATCAAAAGCCCTCGTTTCCTATTTCCAAATACTCCCATTGTATTTTAGGAAATTAACATTCATTATTTTATTTTAGCATGTTCATTATGAAATTATTTTTTCAAATACTCCCATTGCATATAAGTCAATTTTCTAAAAGAACAAATTCCATTACGCACCCGTTTTATTTCATTCTACAAACTAAACGGATTAATTTTAAATACAATGCAAC